TGCACTGTCTGTGGATCTGCACTGTCTGTGGATCTGCACTGGTCTGTAGCATGTCAGAAATTGAACCGCTGAAACAGGTAAAGACTCATACACAGGATACAGGCAGCACGCAAATCCATGACCCACCCAGTCCGCGGAAAAACCTCTCTCCACAGAAATGGTCCCTGGTGCTCAAAAGTTTGAGGGCCACTGTTCTAGAGGAGCCTTTTCAAATGCAGGAAATGACAGTCTCAACTACAGTATATGCCTTAATACTAATAATACTTCACATAATTCTGTTTTTTCATATGCATGGCATAGATTGGGAGAAAAATGTTACATGTGGTTACAGCTCAATACAGATTATACTTCTAAAATCCCATGGAGCTTATTTCCAAGTTTAATAAACACTAGAGCTGTGCAGTGCTTTGGATTCAAAGGCAAAAGGCAAAATCAGGATTCACCAAATTAAAGGAGGGAGAGGCAAAATGGAACATTTTCCAAACCATGCATTATCTGGAGATGATCATTGCTGCATGATCACAGAAAAGATATATTTGACTAAATGAATTTCTATGTGCCTTTTTTGCCTTTATAACTGAAGTACTGTACAATCCTAGACTGCACGATAACAATGTCCACACAAAATATTTTGAAGAAGCATTTTTTTACCATGTCTCACCACTTTGTTTTGGAGTTTACAATATGATTTTTGTGTACCTTTACAAATTGTACACCTATACAAATACTTGAACAATGCAGTTTGTTGTGCCTTTTGCCTAGATACGCTGAATAAATTTTGTGATTGCTATTTGAATATGTATTTGTCATAAATTATTGTATGTGGATTGATACTATTAAAGAGATAGGGGATACTATTCTTTAAACCAATCGTCCTCATTGCTGGAGAACAGTTTTCTTCAATTTGAATTCAATCCAGGAAACAATGTGGATTTACTTATATAGTTTCCTTGGACAAAACAATAGATGAATCCTGGTGAAACAGGCCACACAGTGTGTGACCAACTAGATCACAGGTATCAAACTCACGGCATCTTGCTGTCACATGATGTTTCACAATGTTTTTCCCATTTGCGGAGCTGTAGTGGGCGTGGCCTGCATGTGACACCCTAGATTAGGGAAACTCAAAAGTTTAGAGTAGAGAACAAGGCTAATTTTGGAAAAGATGTTAAGGGGCAATAGAAACTAGCAAATCAAACAGATTACCATCTTTGGAAGTTCAAAAAAACAATATGTTCTTCCACACGAAATAAATGAGTTGTGCTAACAGTCTTATGAATGAAACAAGAACAAATTTCAGTCATTTATAAAGCCATTTGCAAAACTCGATTATATAATTATCTAATTGTAAAATACATTCTTTGGCAACAA